TGCCAGCGCGGGGCCAGCTTCCAGGAAGGTGGTCCGCGAGCGGCCCCCTGCTCACCTTCCAGGTCCCCCGCGCGTCCCCGGCCCTGCCCAGGACCCCCGCCTGGCCGCCGCCCGCGTCCGGGAAGGTAGATGGGGGAGGGGAGATGGCTGCGGAGGAGCAGGGAGGGGGACGCAAGGGTCTGGGGGCCTCTAGGGGCCAGAGAGTTTTTATCAGATAAGGGAGAAACCGTTGTCACTGAAGGCGGGGACGCGGCAAGGGGCAGCGAGGTCTGCGAAATTTCGCCGGGGAAAGCCTTAGCGGATCCATGGGTGCGGAAAGGACGGGGCCGCGGTGGCTGCAGACTGGGCGGGACTGACGGGAAAAGGAAAGGGTTCATTTCTGTGGACGCCACGGCGCCGCTTTCCGTCCGCAAAGGCTTTCTCTCTCCTCCAGCTCCAACCTGAGCCATGTTTTTCACCTGTGGTCCAAACGAGGCCATGGTGGTCTCTGGTAAGTATTGTTCTCTTCTCAGCCAGTGACCCCCAAGCCCTTGCGAGTGTGGCCTCTGCCCCTTCCCCTTCTCCCTACCAGCTCCCTAGCGCCAAGCCTTCCGCCCACCCCACTCCCCCGTGGCTGCAAGCCACCCCCTTGTGATTGTTCCCAGCCACCACCCTTCCAAGGCCAAAACTGTCCCCCACCCGCGCCAGCTCCCATATTTCCTCTTGGGGATTGCTGCCCTTCTCCCTTCCCCAATTCTGTCTTCCACATTTCAGCTCTGCCAGGGCGATCGGCCACCGCAGCTCACTGCCCCCTCATCTTGCAGGTTTCTGCCGGAGCCCCCCAGTCATGGTGGCTGGAGGACGTGTCTTTGTCCTACCCTGCATCCAGCAAATCCAGAGGTAGGTAAGAAGAGAACTTGGAAAGGAGAACCCTTGTTTCCTCTTTCCTCCTTTTCTCACTATCCACCCCTTCTTTTTCTCTTAGGATCTCTCTCAACACACTGACCCTCAATGTCAAGAGTGAAAAGGTTTACACTCGCCATGGGGTCCCCATCTCAGTCACTGGCATTGCCCAGGTGAGGCTTTCAGAGCCTTTCCCCCAAAGTCCACTCCCCCTTTCACCTTCTCTGCCCCCAAACATTAAGAATTTTCTGACCATGGTCTTCCCATCCTCTGCCTGCAGAGAAATTTCTCTGCTGGTCTCAGCTTCTCCAGGGACTTCCAAGGCACTTGACTTCTCCCCACTTCTCTCCCTAATTTCTGCCTGGCTTCTTGAGACCTTCACCACACCCTCCGTCGCTCTACAGGTGAAAATCCAGGGCCAGAACAAGGAGATGTTGGCTGCCGCCTGCCAGATGTTTCTGGGAAAGACAGAGGCTGAGATTGCCCACATTGCACTGGAGACGCTGGAGGGCCACCAGAGGGCTATCATGGCCCATATGACTGTGGAGGTGGGCCTGAGAGCAGGGAAAGATCTGGAAGGGATTCCAGAGTGAGGGGGTGGAGGAATACCCAAGGACTGAGCTAGCCTATAGGAGACAGCGGCCAGAGGATCTAGAGCTTACATTCCTCTTTCCCTCCATTCCTGTTATCCTAGGAAATCTATAAGGACAGGCAGAAATTTTCAGAACAGGTTTTCAAAGTGGCCTCCTCAGACTTGGTCAACATGGGCATCAGTGTGGTCAGCTACACCCTAAAGGACATTCACGATGATCAGGTAAACCTAGACCGTTCCTTCTCCCCACTTCCCTGCTCTCATCTCTTAAACCTTCCCGAAGACTGTGATATCTTTGTCTCTCCCACAGGACTATTTGCACTCCTTGGGGAAGGCTCGAACAGCTCAAGTCCAAAAAGATGCACGGATTGGGGAAGCAGAGGCTAAGAGAGATGCTGGGATCCGGGTGAGAGAGATGGGGATGACCATGGGCTTATTGGAGTTGGGATGGATTAGGGGCTGGTGAATTGGGGTTGGCCGAGGACACAGATGAAGCCAGGCCTGGGGTAAAGATGGGGAAGCTTGGCGGAGAGCTGGTTCTCTCCCTGGGGCCTTCTCCCTTCTCTGACTTCCTGCCTGATCTCTGCATGGACAGGAGGCCAAAGCCAAGCAGGAAAAGGTGTCTGCTCAGTACCTGAGTGAAATCGAGATGGCCAAGGCGCAAAGGGACTACGAGCTGAAGAAGGCCGCATATGACATCGAGGTCAACACCCGCCGAGCACAGGCTGATCTGGCCTATCAGCTACAGGTCAGAGCCCTCATGCTGGCCCAATGGCCAGGCTCGACTTCACTCCCTACCCGTTCTTCTCAGGCCACCACTCTTTCTCATATTCGAACTCTGATTCCCTTATTTGGGCCTCCATTTGCAACCCAGCTCCTCTGTATGAGGAAGATGTTAAAGATCTAAACACATAGCTGAAAAAGCAAAGGAAAGGTCCAGAAAGGTATGTTCCATAGGGATGATCGTGGCTTGGGGCAGGTTGTGCCCTGTGCAGGGGCACCTGGATGAGAAGGATGCAGCCCTTGCTTCACTCGCCAAGCTGTGCATCGGGCCTGGGTCACTAGATCTTCATCCACCCAGAGGAAGGGGCACCTTTTTCTAATTTGCACGGGCTACTTCATGGGCTCACAGCAGCTCTGGTGGTCGAAGAAGGGTGTGAGGAAGGAAAATGTGGACTTGGGCTTTGAATCCCACAAAGTGAGATGACAGAGCCCAGAGGTACAGCCGATCCTTATCATTTGTGGATCCCATATTTGAGAATTTGCCTCATTGCCAGAATTGATTGGTTACCCCAGAATCAGTACTCGGTACTGATGACCATTTGCAAGAGTGGGGAACAATTTCAGTTGCCTGCTGTGTGCTTCCCAGTTGAGGTTGAACAAGATGTTCTGCCTTCTTGTTTTGACTCTTATACTATAAACGGTGTCATTTTCACAGTATATTCACTGCCACATTTTTCACACTTTTGTGCTCTTTGTCGGTGATTTCATAGTTTAAAATGACCCCCAAGCCTCGTGCCGAAGTGCTGTCTAGTGTTCCTAAGTGCAAGAAGTCTGTGACGTTCGTGCCTGACTGAAAATAAGTGTGTTAGATAAGCTTCCTTCAGGCATGAGTTACAGTGCTGTTGGCTGTGACTTCGTTGTTAATGAGTTAACAGCATATATTACGTACGGTGTCTTTAAGCAGAAACACACATAAAACAAGGGTATATATTGATCTGTTGATGAAAATGTGACCAGAGGCTCACAGGAACCTTACCCTGCATCCTAGGAACAGAAGTATTTGTTAATTCAGTGTTGATGGCTACTTCATAAAACGGAACTGCCATGAATAACGAGAAACAACTTTGACGTACTTTGAGACGTGTACCAAAGGAGAGCAATATTATGAGATTCATTTTTGCCAAGAGTTGGTACAGGCTGAAAGCATGAAGTGCAGCACATCTGTAGTTGTGATGTGAAATCCCTGGGTGGCTTGACAGGTACCTGAGTGTGGCACAGTGATTTGCTGCTCAAGGTGTGGTCCACTTACCAGCAGCATCAGCATCCCTGGAGAACTTGGTAGAAATACAAAATCTCAGGCTCCAGCTCAACCTACCTAGTCAGAATCTGCATTTTAGCATAATCCCTAAGTGATTTGTGTACACATTGGCATTTCAGAAGCATTAACAGAGTGGAAACCACTAGCCTGGGTGGGACTTAACCCACTCAAGGATAAGATCCTTAACCTTCTAAACATGGCTTCCATCGTTGGCAAATCAGGGTTGCAGGGTTGGGCTGGTTTGGGTTCTGTTCAGCTTTTATTAGTTCCTCATTCTGTGCCGGGCTTTATGCTGGGTGCCGGGGAAATCAGGATTTATTCAATGGATATCTATTAAGTGCTTACTGTGTGCCAGACATTGTTTTGGAGGTGAGTATATAAGTATGAAAAAGACACAATAAGATTCCTGCCCACATGGAGCTTAACATTACAATGCAGGAAACAACTAATAATCAAATAACTTTCACAGGCTCTAAGTATGTTGTTTAAGTGCTATGAAAGAAATAAACGGATGATGTGAAATATAGTAGGGGAGTTACTCTGTTAGGTCAAGGTGGTCAGAGAAAGCTTCAGTGAGGAAGTGATATATGGGATAAACCCTGAAGATGAGAAAGAGGCAGCAATGTAAAGAGTTGTGGGCTGAGAACATTCTAGGCCAGTGCTGTTCAAATAGAACTTTCTGTGATAATGGAAATGCTCTATATCTGTGCTGTGATGTCAAGCACTTGTAATGTGGCTCCTGTGACTGGGGAGCTGAATTTTAAATTTATTTAATTTTAAGTAATTTAAATTTAAATAGCTATATGGGGCATGTGGCTAGCCAGGGGATCAGCATGTGCTAAGACCCTGAGGTAGGAAAGAGCTGGGTATGTCCCAGGAACAGAAAGGAGGGTTCTGATCTGGCATGACTGCTGTGCTGTGAGTGAGGGGAGGCAGGCGGGGCCAGGTCACATAGGATTCAGGTGGCCATGACAGAGACTTAGAAGAAAATTCAAAGCACAATGGAAAGCTATTGGAGGACTTTAAGCAGGGAGGTACTCTGGTCTAATTTATGTTTTTACAAGGATCAGTCCAACAGCCATGTGGAGAATTGATTGTTAGAAGAGAGGAAGCAGGGAGATGAGTTAGAAGGTTTTTTCAAAGATGATGGATTGAATAAATGCAGCTAATTGCACTCCCTCTTAAAACTTCATTAAACCACACAGAGTGATTAAAAAGAAAAAGGTGGAGAGAATAGGAACAGAAGGAACAGAAACCACAGCATCATTTTGGAAGCTGGAAAGCCATGGTAATTGACTAAGCAGGTCTGAGAGAGCTGACCCAAAGCTGCAGGGGAGAAAACAGTGAAATGATCAGAGGCTCAGGACCTGGCAGCACGAGGGGCCTCTGGAGCTGTCATGAAGATGGTTGAAATAAGGAAAAACACATGAAAAGTGACTTCTTAGGTAGAGCCCCTGTCTGGCTCCCTCACTGCTCCAGTAAACTTCCGGTGGTTTATTATCTAACGAGTAAACCAGAGGATGTGACCCAGGGCCAGCTGGGCACAGGTGAGGGCCTGGATGCTGTACCAGTAACAGGCATGAAGTGACTGCTTATTGAACGCTGGCCGCTTCCCCTTACCCCTCACCCCACCCGTCTCCCAGAACCTCCATCTTCCAAAGAAGAGATCAGAAAACTGCTGTGGGAAACATAAGCAATCCAAAAGAAAAGATTGGAAGATCCTGAGTCAGAGGTTCCTCAGCAGATGATCTGCCCAGGTCACCCTTGAGTGAGGCTGAAAGCCAGTGAGCCTCACCCACATACCTACAGCTTCTTTCCGGTGTTTCAGACCTTCCTCTCTGAGCAAAGAAGCAAGGACTACCTGACATATGAGGGAATCCTGCGACATGGAAGACTAGACCAAAACCACAAGTAGCAAAGCAGTTTGAAGGATACATACTGTGCAGGGAGAAGAAAGCTTAGAAAAATTAATATCCTCTAGC